CAGTATATATCCAAATCTGAACACTGAATAAAGACATATAACATCTGAAACTGTAAAATTAGATGAAAACAGAAAAAATCATCCTACCATTGGTCTGGGGAGTGATTTTTTGTACATGATAATAAAAGCACAGGTAACAAGTGCCAAGAGAGAAAAATGGGATTGCACCAAACCAAACAGCAAAGAAAACAATCAGCAGAGTGATGACTCAACCCAGGGGATGGCAGAAAATATCTGGAAACTACACATCTGATGGGGTAAATATCTAAAATACATCATAAGAAACCCAGGCCACCCAATAGCAATAAAATAAGCATGCTGATTTTAAAATGGCTAAGGACCTGAATAGACATTTCTTAAAATAAGACCTACATCTTCAAAGAAGGATGTACCTTTCTTTGAAGGGAGGAGAGAACTTCCACTTTGACTATGACCTTGTCTAAACAAGATAAGAGTCGGAGAACTCAAAAGGCTTCCATAGCCTTGGAAACTCATGACTGGAGCCTAGGGAGATTACTGATGCCATAAACAGGAGTGTCAATTGGTAAAGTCAACAACAGGAGTCACTGTGCACTTACTCCTCATGTAGGATCTCTGTCCTTAATATGCTGTACATTGAGATTTAATGCTATAACGAGTACTCAAACAGTATTTTTCACTTTGTGTTTCTATGTGGGTGCAAACTGTTGAAATCTTTACTTAATGTATACTAAACTGATCTTCTATATATATAGAAAATTGAAAATGAATCTTGATATGAATGGAAGGGGAGAGAGAGCGGGAAAGGGGAGGGTTGTGGGTGGGAGGGAAGTCATGGCGAGGGGGAAGCCAATGTAGTCCATAAGCTGTACTTTGGAAATCTATATTCATTAAATAAAAGTTAAAAAAGATGAAAAAAAAATAAGACCTACAAAAGGCCAACAGGTAAATGAAAAATACAAACAAACAAAACCTCAGTACCATTAATCATCAGGGGAATGCAAATCAAAATCACAAGGAGAGATTACCTTATACCTGTTAGCATAGCTGTTATCAGTAAGTCAGAAGAGAAGAGAAGACAGGATGTGGAGAAAAGAGAACCCTTGTTCTCTGTTGGTAAGAATGCTGATACAGCTATTATGCAAAACACCTTGGAGATTCCTCAAAAAATTAAAAATAGAACTACCTTATCATTAGTAATTCTACAATTAGGTCTGTAACTTAAGAAAACAAAATCACTCTCTTGATGAAATATTGCACTCCCGTGTTCACTGTAGCATTATTCACAACAACCAAGACGAACAAATCCAAGTGTTAATCAAAGGATGAATGGATAAAGAAAATGTGGTAGCACACACATAGAATATTATTTAGCCTTACAAAAGAAGAAAATCATTGCATTTTCCACAACATGGATGAATGTTGAAGACATTACACAAAATGCAATAAGCTAGGCATGCAAAGACAAACACTGCGTGATCCCTCTTCTCTGTAAAATCTACAAAAGTCAAACTTGTAGTAACAGAAAGTGGAACGGCTGTTACCAGGGGTTAGGGTTTGAAATGGGGGCTGCAGGTCAAGTGGTACAAAATTTCAGATATGTAGAATGCATCATTTCTGGAGATGTAATGCATAGTATGTTGTCTATAATTAATAACACTGTACTGTACGGTTAAAATTTTGCTCAGATAGTAGCTTTTAAATGTCACCATGAAAAAGAAAAATACAACTATATAAAGAACAACTTACATTAATTGTCTTGATTGTTGTAATCACATCACGATATATGAATATATTAAAACATCAATTCACACTATAAGTCTATACAAGCTCTATTTTCAATTATCATTTAATAAAAATATATACGAATTTTATTTATTGATTAAACTTTAAGTTAAAAAAGAGAAAACCACTTGGATAATTATGGTCATATCTCTGTTAACATCAGAAGTATACCAAAGCAATCATGCTTTAAAGAGATAAAGTTAACAAATAAAAAAAAGAAAGAAAAGTAACTGGAACTCTTGGTTTCAGAAAAAAGAGAACAAAACAAGAAAACAGAAAGAGAAGGAAACAAGAAGGGAGGAGGGGTGGTGGAAGTCTTGCCTCCTCATCAGCCAGCCAACAAGGAGCCAAATTCCCTCACAAAAGCACAAAAGGTGAAAACCAATGCCATTACTTCTGCTACAGTTTTCTGACCCTGAAGAGAGATGCCAACTACCAAGAGAATGACCCAGATTTCTAGAAACCTGATATCTAAGAGCTCTAATTGTTACATCCCTCTTACTCTAAGTTTCTGGCACATTATGAGTAACCATTTCTTGAATGATAAATGAATGTCTCAATGAGGTCATTAACAAGCAAGTTAAGGTTTTAAAAAACAAGCTTACTTCTACTCACAAGGAACATTTTGTTCATAGTCTGAAAGATTAAACTATTTCAAATTTCATAGCAAATAATTTGAGTGATCTTATTTAAACCCTTTAGATATTTTGGCATCCCATAGATGTGCTGATTATATGCAGTTATTGAGACATTACTTGAATTGTTATGGAAACTCCCAACTTCATTGCTAAACTGGGCTTTAATAACTTTCTAGTACAGTTTTCTCATTATATGAAAAAGGGACTTAGGAGAGATGAGAAAGCTCATCCAGCCAGTTAAGAGACCAAGCAGAATATGAAGATGAACCATTCGAACTGCCAGTCTATGTTATCTTCTACAACTGTGCTGCAATTTCCATAGTTTATAGCTTCATTCTCATATGAAAAATTTATAAGAACCTGAACTACCCATAGAGAAATATCTCCAAATGGTTAATTTTGTCCCATCGTTTAGATTTCTACTCTAAAATATTAAACTGAGTACCCGTAGTTTTTAGAAGGCAGCAAGCTCAATTTTGTAAAGATGAAACACTTCTATGCCTCATCTGCTATTTACATAAGCCTTAAATTGGGACAGAAAAGGTTGGTGCATGTTTCTTTATACTACAAAGCAATGAAATTCTCCAATTAAATCTGCTTGTCCATAATTCAATTTGTGATGACTGGAAGGAAGGTAGATTCTGAAGAAGTGGCTGGGGAAGTGATGCAGCAGTTGGAAAAGCACCGTTGGTGTCCAATCTGCTACAATCTACTATAACTGACTATGCAACCTTCCTTCCTTTGTCTGGATTTCATTTTCCACAGCTGTAATTCCCGGGAATTGCTAGAAGTCATAGAGAGTAAGTATGGCATCCTTCAATGAACCTCCTCCTGACACCTAAGGGGCGTGTGTGTGTGTGTGTGTGTGTGTGTATGTGTATTCATTTTCCTGGGTAGAGGACCCATAACTTCTTTTAGCTTGTAAAAAAGTATCTAGGACAAAAGATATATTAAATGCCTCTGTACTAATTTCTAAGATCCTTCCTAATTTCTCAAATATGACAAAACCAAAAATGTAATTTCAAATGGAAAATACATATTAGCACAAACAAGCCTATTTGGAAAGCATATCTGCACACACAGTCCCATCATGATGAAACAAAGATACATTCAAGTGTTGGCTAAAAGAAGTTCACTAGAAGCCCAGTCAGTTCTTCATAATTAGCAGGAACTGGCAAACACAATGTAACTGCATATGGTGAATCGAAGTCTACAACAGGTTTCTAGTCCTGTCTCTTCATTACCAGTGTTTTAATGAGCTGTCAAGGTCGGCCTGCTATTTTGATTGCATGAGGTAGAGACAACCAATAACATTATGCCAGCAAATGAAACTCCCTGCTTTGTTTTCAGAATATCCGTTCCAAAACCATGTTGACTGCAACTTTCAGATGCTTGAAGAGCCACCATTTTTATAGTATATTGATTATAAAAAACTTAGACACTAAAAAAAGTCATTCTACCTATTTCCTTCCTCTCTTCCCTTCTTAACTTAATAAATGTTCACTGAATATATTGCATCCATTGGGAGCTCTACCAGAGCTGATACTGTAAAATACCAATAAACAAAATACATACACCCCACCCTCTTGATGCTTGCATTCAAGAAGGGAAAAACAAAATTATCAACACCCATAAACAATAAGCAAATTATTTATTATTTTTAAAGGTGATAACTACTTTGGAGGGTGAGAGAATTATACAGATTGGGAATATAAAAGGAGAGGAGAATGGCTCCAATTTTAAGCAGGTCAGCTCTCCCCAGAAGGTGTCATTTAGGGAAGATCTGAGGGGAGTCAGGGACTTCTGCTGCCTTGGGGATGAACTTACAGGCAGAGAGAGGAGAGAAGGCAAAGAGGCAGGGCTAACTTGTTCAAGGGATAGCAAGGAGGCCATTGTGGCAGAGCAGAAACAAAATCATCCTCCTCCTGTGGCCATGAAATTTATTAAATGTCATCTTTCACACAACACCTCATATTCTATTACTTCCATGTATAAAACAGAAGGTTTATAATCTTACTAGAGTCCTCTATTTGTTAAGAAATACAAAGTTACAATTCTTCTGAGAATTCAGCAATCACCTCAAAACAGGTTTCTGGTAGTATATGCATTTTGAGTCTGTGTTCTCACAAACATATATGTGTATGAACTGCTATGTAATATGCAAATATGCCATTTAGCAGGTGATGACATGAAGAAATCAAGTACCAAATATGAGTAAAGGATTTTTATGTTGGAACTTTAGAGATTAGCCACAAATGATTGGCGTTTCCAACAAAGAGGCATTCCAAGATGCACAGTTAACATAAAGCATCCATTCTTTGTGAAATGTCATTGTTCCTTTTGGCATTTACCACATCGCTCATTTCATTAGCGCTCTTCCAGAAACTGAAACAGTCGTGATGATTGTACAATTTGCATGGCATTTCTCGGTGTTCATACCCTAAATACAAGCTCCATATGAAAGAAGTACTTTTTTCGGAGGAGAATCAGGCAGTACTCCCCCCACGGCAGTCATCTTGTTTCTGAGTTTCGCCTCCGTTGAGAATGAGCCATGATCTTGCGATAGTTTAAATATAACATCAAACTCACACAACATACCTTGCCTTGCTGGTCTTTTTTGACGAAGCCGGTGGCGGCTGCAATGCTCCCCGCTCCTTCCACTGTCTTCTGGGCGACTGCTGTCACACCTGTCACCACTGCCTCTCCAACATTTGTCACTTGCTCTTTGGTCTTCTCAGCCACTGGGGTGAATGAAAAGCAATAGCAGATTAAAGACAGCAGCAACTTTATAAAATTCTACTTCCACTAGCAGTCAACTTCCATTCAGCCTGTATTTTTTTCTTTTTTTTTTTTAAGATTTTTTTTTTTTTATTTGACAGATAGAGTTAGACAGTGAAGGAGAGAGACAGAGAGAAAGGTCTTCCTTCTGTTGGTTCACCCCCTAAATGGCTGCTGCACCGATTCAAAGTTAGGAGCCAGGTGCTTCTTCCTGGTCTCCCATGTGGGTGCAGAGGCCCAAGCACCTGGGTCATCCTCCACTGCCCTCCCGGGCCACAGCAGAGAGCTGGACTGGAAGAGGAGCAACCAGGACTAGAACCCGGCACCCATCTGGGATGCCAGCGCCACAGGCGGAGTATTAACCAAGTGAGCCATAGTGTAAGCCCCAGTTCAGCCTGTATTTACACAGGCTTTAGGCAATTGAAGGATCACAGGAAATAGTAGCTACCAAGATTTCTAAGTGAGAGGGATTACTCAAAATCTGCATCTTCACCGACATCTTGTTATAATCACACAGACTTTAGAAGGTGCCTCCTCTTTAATGATCACAAGTGTAGGCCCACAAGCAGCTTGGGTTTGACTTATTTTAAGGAAAGTTGCAGAAAGTAGCACTTCCAAAGTCAGATATAGTGGAATCAGACTCAGCAAGAAATTTATTTCTTTATTTCAATTTCAGGGCCGATTCTTCTATCTCAATCAGCAAGTTCATTTTCAGCAGATTGCTGAGCAACATGACACATTCTACCTACAGGTTGAGCATCCCTAATCTGAAAATTCAAAATTCTCCAAAATCTGAAACATTTGGAGTGCTAACATGATGACACAAGGGGAAAATTCCACACCATGAGACTTTGTTTCATGTGCGAAATTATTTGAAACACTGTATAAAATCGCCTCCAGGCCATTCATATAAGGTATATGTGAAACTCAAATCATGTGTATAGACTTGGGTCTCATTCCCAAAATATCTTATTTGGTATATGCAAATATACCATAATTCCCCCCACCAAAACAAAAGAGATCCAAGATCCAAAACACTTCCAAACCTAACTATTTTAGATAAGGGAGACTCCAACTGTTTTTGTGCTCATAGATGTTACTATCAAAATGCACAATGGCAGAGGAATGGTTAAGAAGGAATTCTGAACCTTTTATAAAATTTCAGTTTGTGAAACAGAAAGGTTCTTAATTATAAGATTGTCAGTAATTTTAATGGGAACAAAGCATCTAGATTTTAAGTTAAAATGAAAATTAAGAGGCTTATTGAACATACAATTTTACTTCCATAAAACAAAATATGATATAATAATTCAGTATATTTCTAAAACCAATTAAAAATTTAGAGAAGATGGTGTAAATAATGTAAATTTGTAATCTAGAGATTTAATTTCTCATCAAAAACTCTCAAAGACATCCTAGAACTGTATCTGCTTGTGGAATCAAGTTTTCTATATTATTTCAATATAATTATATAAAGAAAGCCCAAATAAAATTTTAATTTCAATTAACTAAAAAGTTGTATGCAAACAAATATAAAAGATTCTATGCTGTTAATAATTCAATACAGGGGGCCGCAGCACATGGTGCAGTGGGTTAATCCTCTGCCTGCGGCACCAGCATCCCATATGGGCACCAGTTCTAGTCCCGGCTGCTCCTCTTCCAATCCAGCTCTCTGCTATGTCCTGGGAGAGCAGTGGAGGATGGCCCAAGTGCTTGGGCCCCTGCACCTGCATGGGAGACCAAGAAGAAGCAGTGCAGCTCCGGCCATTGCGGCCAGTTGGAGAGTGAACCAACGGAGGGAAGACCTTTCTCTCTGTCTCTTCCTCTCACTGTTTGTAACTCTACCTCTCAAATAAATAAATAAATAAAAATAATAATTCAATACAGAAATAAAACCATCCATTTCCATCCAACCTGCTATAATATCCATCCATGCCACGAAGCCTTTGGTCCTGCATCTCTTATTTGTCTACAGAATCTCTGCCCTCTTTCCTTCTGCTCCCACAAACTCATTCCTGTTCTGCTTTTTCCCCAACATTCAGGAATTTGGGGTTTTGAGGGATTCATTCATTAGGCACTCCATTAAGAATAAAGCCATATTTTCATGTTTCACCATCCTTATATCCTCCTGGTGAGCCTCTCTCTGAGAAACATCTCCAAATGCTACTCGCGTGATCCTTTTCAGATCTTACACCACTAGTTTGGGGCGTCAATAATTAAACAGTGGCACAAGGCAATTTGTTTTCAAGTAGAGTGTTTGGGTCAAGAAAGCAAGGGTGGTGAGTAAGGACTCTCATCCAGGCACTGTAGGGAAGGGTGAAGCAGCCACACAGTCTAAAATCAACGAACCCACAGCAGGTGTTGTTCTCAGTCTGCCTTTTGCCCAGAATTCTGCAGGTTTGCCTAGTGACGTTGTGCCACTGAACATACTAATGTCTCTGAAGGAGTAACAGCTATTTACAATTCAAAGTTCAATTTAAATGCCAGTGAAAAGCTGTACTGGAAAATTTATGTTTTTAAACATTTCTGGAGTGTTGATCTTTTAAAAATGGTGAATTATGTATTTCAAGTTGTCATTTTTTCCTTTTTTAAGAACATGAACAGAAAGTTTTGCTTGAAATGAACATTTTCTTGTTATAAATCTCCCAGTAAGAAAAAAACAGATTTTGGTTTTTTTACAAACTCATAGTTTCTCTGCCCTTCATGAATTTTACAAAATCTAGGCAATCCTTTAGATAGAAACTTTTATCTATTATTTTAATGCATCCAAACTATACAGTAAAGTGTATTTGTTATGTAATTGCAACTCATGAGGCTTTGTGGCTGTAATGATACATAATTTAGGTATATTATAAAATGACAGCATATACAGGCGGCAATAATAGACATATGTACTAAGATTTCTATAGGACTGACTTTGCTAGTATGTTCCCTGTTGCCTGTGAGCCTCCTTTTTATACCTTTGAGAACTTTCAGACTGTTTCCCTTTTCCCTGCTCATCAACACTCCAAAGAGGGATAAAACAAAAGCTAAGAAGACACATTCAAGTACATTTTGGATATAACAATGGCAATTATTTTTAAGATAAAAGACTTTCTAATGAGGGTCAAAGGGAGACACTACTCCAAACCAACTGATGCTATAATATTTTGATCTCATTTAGCTTTTCCCCAAGGTCCCTCTCTTTCCCATTTTGGTATATGCAGCTCCATCTGGCCAGAAACCTTTAATTCACCCCTGTTGACTCAGCTAAGTCAATTCCTTTGTTAAAACCCAGCTCAAATGTCACCTTCCATGTTAAAAGCATCTTCTCCCAGAAAGTGCTTTGTTCCTTCTCCTGCAACTCCGAATCATTAGAAACATCTCTACTATGACATAATTATTCATTTATCAGTGTGTTTGTTCCAATCCATCACCCTATTTTGACTCATCCAAAATTAAGGAGCTTGTTTTATGTTCCTTTATGTTATTTCATGGTGATAGGTAATTTAGAGTATGGGCCAACATCATGGCACAGCAGATTGAACTGCCGCCTGCAATGCCAGCATCCCATATCAGAATGCCGGTTCTGAGTCCCCACTGCTCTGCTTCTGATCTGGCTCCCTGCTAATGTGCCTGGGAAAGCAGTGGAAAATGGCCCAACTGTATGGGAACCTTCCACTCACATGGAGTTCCAGGCTCCTGGCTTCAGCCTCGCTCAGTCCCAGTTGTGGGCATTTGAGGAGTGCATATATTTCTCCATCTCTCTGCTGAAAGTAAATAAGTAAGATTTTAAATAACCCTACTCAACAAATTAAGTAATTTATCTGACATGTGAGAGAAATGGTACGAATGGCAGCAAATTTCTTCCATTGCATTTCTCATAGCCACATTAGTTATGACAGCATTTTTGATATTTTACCACTGTCGAGGCGTTTAACTGGTTTAACAACCACAAAGACTGCTCATGCCCATACCTTCATGGCCTTGCTGCTCAGCAGCGTTTCTCATAGGTATCTGGAATACAAGTCTGTTCGAACCCCACTAACTGAAGATCTCAACAGTCAAACAGCTTAAAAAAAATCCTAGTTTATAAACTGTGTTATGCAAATTTACTTCCTGTAGATTATTCAATATGATAAAGAGAAGATGTGGAATGCAAAGTTTTCAACAAGATAAAACTATAGAAACATGAGCTGGTGGATGGATATTCTTCGGAAAATGTTTTCTAAAATGTTGCCTTGTACCTGCCTCAGTTACCATCCCCTTCCCCCTTCTCATACACTTTGGGGCATTCTGGAAAAAACTAAAATATTGTGACATGTCTACAGTTATCCTTGTAACTCATCTCCTCCATGAGACAATGTTATTAGCTAAGTACTTGAATTTTTACACAGGCTCTGAACACTGCCACTTGCTTATCTGCTTTTTAAATGTAAATGGTTCTCCCTCAACTATCACGATGAAATATCATTAATCTTGGTTGGGTCTCTTCAGGCAGCAGCACAGTCTCCCACTGTCAGCTAGACAGTCCTTATTAAAATCCATGCTTACTATCATCACATTGGTAGAAGGTCCCAAGAAGACAATACAGCCCATTTACTTGGCTACTTCTCTGTATTACGTAATTTGGTTATAACAAAGCAAATGAAAATTACAAAATTTTCTTCTAATAGACTCAGTTTCAAGGGATGCTGATTTCTTCTTACATCATCATCCATTATTGTCGCTCCCCGTCTTCGTGGAGGAACGACACAGGACCCTGCGCTGTTCTTTCGTCTGCTCGGCCCTCCCCGGGTTTGCTGCTGGTTCTTCCCGGGTTGGCTACCGTCCCTTCCACCTCCGTGGAAGGGCGGTTCCCCCTAGCCACTTTCCCCACTTCCACGGGGGAGCGGCACACCACCGGCCGGCTCTCTCGGGGGCTGCTCAGATGTTCCTCAGGTGTTCCTGGTGCATGTTGTCTCTCTCCTCCTTTATAGTCCTCTTCCACCAATCCCAACTCTGCTACCCACACGCCGAGTACGCTGCTCTCCTCCAATCAGGAGTAGGTCCTACAGTTTATTGGTTGAACTGGAGGCAGCTGTATAGAAGCTGTTTCTCCCTTCTCAGCACCATATTGTGGGAGCAGATGCATAGAATAAGTCTTAATTCCAGTAACTTAGTCTAGTCCGAGTTGCTCCCCACACATTATCAAAAGTACTCACTTAAAAAGTCATATACAAAAATCACATGAAATTCATTTTTCCACCAGCTAAAAAAATGTTAAGAAAGATCTGCTATAGAGCAATCAAAAGTAAAAACTATATAACAGAAACTATACTTTCAGTTATCTAGTTCATTTACTCTTTTACAATTGAGAAAGTTAAACCACACAGAGTTTAAGTATCTTGGCAGAAAATCACATAGCCAGTAAGGAGAATAAATTTGAACTCAGGAGATCTGACTTCTGTTTATGCTGTTAATTTTTACATTGGATTAAGACTCTCATTTCATTTCCCCATTTCTATTTTATAACACTGACAGGAACATGATACGTTTAAGAGGCATTATTATATGTAATGCCTTCTTATCGTGTGAATTGTATTTCTGATGATATCTCCTATTTCACCCTAACTATCAGGGAGCATGGAGTACTTCGACCGTGAGACTCAACAACAGCAAGTTTATGGGCTCATAATTTGTTACATTTTGGTTCTTCTTTGATTCTGCTATAGCTTTCCATGACCCTCATCCTCCTTATTACCATCATCACTAACATTTTCATCACTTTTGCTCTTTCTTTATTATAAACCTTCTTACAGACCTACTCAAATTCTTGGTAAGATCAGATTACTGATCATCGTAAGTGTTGCCCAAAACATACTCTCAACCATAAAGAAAACATTATAATCAGTTGAGGATCAGAATATTTTATTGGGCTCTCCAGAGAAGCTTACTTTAATCCCTTGAAAAATAGAAATCTTTACATTTTATTTACACTAGCAAATTGCCAATTGGGCAGAATACTTAAATGTCCAACTACCACAAATTAAACACAACTGGTCAATTCAAAGTTATCAATCTTGACAATGAAATATATGGTTTATCGGCCGGCGCCATGGCTCACTAGGCTAATCCTCCGCCTAGCGGCGCCGGCACACCGGGTTCTAGTCCCGGTCGGGGCGCCGGATTCTGTCCCGGTTGCCCCTCTTTCAGGCCAGCCCTCTGCTGTGGCCAGGGAGTGCAGTGGAGGATGGCCCAGGTGCTTGGGCCCTGCACCCCATGGGAGACCAGGAAAAGTACCTGGCTCCTGGCTCCTGCCATCGGATCAGCGCGGTGCGCTGGCCACAGCGCGCCGGCCGCGGCGGCCATTGGAGGGTGAACCAACGGCAAAAGGAAGACCTTTCTCTCTCTCTCTCTCTCACTGTCCACTCTGCCTGTCAAAAAAAAAAAAAAAAAGAAATATATGGTTTATCTACTTATAAAAAGGACCTATTTAAAAAGTACTCCATAAATCATCAAGTACGTTCAAGGCTGATGGTCTCATAGGATGATCCTGTATGCACACGATGGTTCTTTACAATTACACTCTAGATAAATGATGCTGGGGCCATACTAGTTACTAGGCTATATTTCAATCCCATCCTGGACCCAAGCTTTCTGGAACTTACCTGTTGTCACACCATGAACAACTCCCTCCTTGGTTTTGGAACCTATGAAAACAAACAAATTCAAAATATAAGCTTCAAACTGCCTTATCTTACTAATTCGCTAGTTTTAAACACAACTAACTTTAAAATGCTCTGTCTTCAGGAGCTCATATGTAATGACAGCTTCAGCATGTAAAAGAACTAAAGTGAGGAAACCAATAACCACCACAACAAGTACAAGGCGAAACTAACAGGAAGTTTTCTCCAATTAAGATTCTTGCACATGGGGTCTGCGCTGTGGCATAGCAGGTTAAGCCGCTGCCTGCAGTGCCGGCTTCCTATATGGGCACCAGTTCAAGTCCTGGCTGCTCCACTTCTGATCCTGCTCTCTATTATAGCCTGGAAAAGCAGTGGAGATGGTCCAAGTCATTCGGCCCTTGAACCCACATGGGAGACCCAGAGGAAGCTCCTGGCTCCTGGCTTCAGATTAGCACAGCTCTAGCAGTTTTGGCCAGCTGGGGAGTGAATTAGTGGATGCAAGACTCACTCTCTCTCTCTCTCTCTGCCTCTCCTTCTCTAACTCAAATAAATAAATAAATCTTAAAAAAATTCTTGCACAGAATGTTGACCTCATCCTCTTGCTTCGCACTTTCTAATAACAACTTTTAGTGGGAAAAAAAAGGTGATAAAACACTGGGACCCAGAGGGAAGACAATTTGGCTTCAGATCTGAAAAAGCTTTACAAATACAACACAGCAGAGAGATTAACTCATGAAACATGAAATAGAAGACGGAAGGAGACAGAGCCTTAAGATTCACTAACCACCTCCTATCTATGAGGCATTTTAGATCTCATCTCATTTCATGTGCATAACATCCACTTAATATAGGTGTCTTATGCCCATTTTTTACATGAGGAAATTAAAAATCACAGCTAAGTCATTTGCCTAATGTTACACATAAAATAGGCTATAAGCACATTCAAACTAGGTCTCTTCACATGGCAAGAAACCCCTCCTCCAAATACAAACAGCATAAACAAAGTAAAAAATCCCCTCAAATCTTGACCATTATTAAATTTGTATATAAATTATTAAATAATTACTAAAACTGTTAATTTTAATCATAGCCACTCTAATGTTAGCTTCTTCATTGAAATTCATACTTCTTTTTAATTATAAGGTTTTTAGGTAAAATAATACATTGAAAATTTATTTGAAAACTACTCTATAACTCAAATAATGTAGTTCTATCAAGAAACAGAAAAATAAAGAGAAATAAAGGTGTAAAAACTGAGGAGAATTTAAACCTATATGTAGATGCTAAGAAAGTTATCCACCTTTTGTTTAAAAATGCACAAAGTTGGGGCCAGCACTGTGGCTCAGCTGGTTAATGCCCTGGCCTGAAGCGCTGGCATCCCATGTAGGCGCTGGTTCGAGACCCCACTGCTCCATGTCCTGTCCAGCTCTCTTATGTGGCCTGGGAAAGCAGTGGAAGATGGCCCAAGCAAGTCCTTGGGCTCCTGCACCCGCGTGGGCAACCCGGAGGAAGCTCCTGGTTCCTGGCTTCAGATCCGTGCAGCTCCAGCCATTGTGGCCAATTGGGGAGTAAACCATAGCATGGAAGACCTCTCTTTCTCTTTCTCTCTCTCTCTCTGCCTCTCCGCCTCTCTTCTCTCTGTGTAACTCTGACTTTCAAGTAAAATAAATACATCTTTAAAAAATGAAAAATAAATAAAAATGCACAAAGTTGGGGTTGGTGTTGTGATGCACTGAGCACTGTATGGGCACTGGTTCTTTTTTTTTTTTTTTTTTTTAAGATTTACATTTATTTATTTGAAAGGCAGAATTAAAGAGAAAGAGAGGAAGAGAGAGAGTGAGCAGCCCCACAATGGCCAGGGCTGGGCCAGGCCAAAGCCAGGAGCCACAGCTTATTCCAGGTCTCCCACATGGGTGCAGGGGCCCAAGGATTTGAGCCATCTTCTGCTGCTTTTCCCAGCCTGTTAGCAGAGAGCTGGACCAGAAGAGGAGCAGCCAGGATTCAAACCAGTGCCCATATGGGATGCTGGCACAGCAGATGGTGGCTTAACCTGCTATACCACAGTGCTGGCCCCACACTGGTTCTAATCCCAGCTGATCTACTTCTGATCCAGCTCCCTGATAATGTACCTGATAAAGCAACAGAAAATGGCCCAAGTGCTTGAACCCCTGGCACCCACATGGGAGACCCTGATAGCATTCACAGCTCCTGGTTGTGGCCATCTGGGGATAGAAGATATCTCTGTATATCCTGAACCACCCCCCATAACTGTGCCTTCCAAGTAAATAAATAAAACCTTCTTAAAGAAGAGCATGGAGTTGGGGCCAGTGCTGTGGCACAATGGGTTAACGCCCTGGTCTGAAGTGCCAACATCCCACATGTTGGCACCAGTTCAAGGCTCCGCTGCTTTGCTTTTGATCCAGCTCTCTGCAATGGCCTGGGAAAGCAGTGGAAGATGGCCCAAGCTCTTGGGCCCCTGCACCCATGTGGGAGACCCAGAAGAAGCTTCTGGCTTCTGGCTTCGGATCGGTGCAGCTGCGGCCATTGCGACCAGTTGAGGAATGAACCATCGGATGCAGGACCTCTCTTTCTCTACCTCTCCTCTCTCTGTGTAACTCTGACTTTCAAATAAATAAATAAATCTTTAAGAAAAAAAAAAAAAGAGCATGGAGTTTTAACTCTAAGTATGAAAAAAATAACTGCACACATTTTTAAAACAAAGGAAAAATGTATTCTTTTTATTAAATTAGCACATAAGATTAATTGATTACTGTGAAAAAAACTGAAAAACCATGGAGTGGAGCACAGTCACTTAGGCAAGTGTTCTGGTTAAAAATGCTGCGCAAGCCACCAGCTGTTCAATAAACAAAGAATAGATATTTACATGTTTATTTAATCGTACGATATTATAAAGATAACTCCTGGCTCAAATTTTTAGAAACACAAGTTTGATCTAGTCTCCAGATCCAAATTTATCGTATAATTTTGAAGTACTCATACATATTTATGTCCTCAAAAATGTGATGGGAGCAGCATCCCATATTTGAGTCTCAGCTCCTCTGTTTCTTGTCCAGCCCTCTGCCTGGGAAAGCAGTGGGCCACTGCCAGCCACATGGGAAATCCCAGCCATTGCGGCCATCTGGGGTGTGCACGAGCAAATAGAAAGTGTCTCTCTCTGTCCCTCAATCCCACCCTCTCTATCACTCTACCTTTCAAGTAAATAAATAAATCTTTAAACAATAAAATAATGTGATGACCAATGGGCTAATTCATAGAACTCACTATCTGGTCCTTTACAAAATAAGTTGTCAATCCCTGGACAATACTATTGTGTCTCCACATTATCATTTTCCTCCTGAATCCTATATATAACTTACCTTTCATTAGAGTTCTGAACATAGCCAATAAATTATATGTAGAATATACTTATGTGTGTTAAATAGCATGGTAGAAAATGGTTTAACAAATATGTGACACATAAACAAGTTAAAATTGTATACAACTGGGCCAGCGCTGAGTCATAGTAAGTAAACACATGGCCTGGGACACCAACATACTGTATGGGCACCAGTTAATCTCGACTGCTCCACTTCAGATCCAGCTCCCTGTTTATGGCCAGGGAAAAGCAGCAGAAGATGGTCCAAATATTTGGGCCCTGTCACCCACATGGGAAACCAAGATGAAGCTCCTGACATCTTGACTTCGATCTGACCCAGCCCTGGCAATTGCAACCATGTGGGAATTGAACCAGCAGATGGACTCACTCTCACTCTCTCTCTCTCTCTCTCTCTCTACATATATATATATATATATATATATATACATATATACAAAATTCTGATTTTCAAATTTTTTGAAAAACTGTATATAATCATCTCAAAGAAAATAACAGAATTGATCTCTGAGAAATAAAATCATTTCACTTGCCCAAACTCATAGTCAACACGAAAGCAAATAAGTGTTGCAGATGATAAAACTTATTCATTACCAGGAAAGAGCAAAGTATTAAATTAATATTTAGTAGTTTCTGAATTTACAACAAATGACTAGAGGGAATGTTGACTCCCTAAAGAAAAATCTTTAAACACACAAATTATAGTCAAAGGAGCTTGTACTTACAGAAGTTGGAAAACTGAGGACCAACAGAAAAATACTGATCATCTTTGTCATTGTTTCAGTATTACAAATTCTAACTAAAATGATACAATTCATCCTTTACAAAAAAACTTGCACTTAACTTCCCAATTTTTCCCTTTTTCAATGATATTTCTGAAAACATATTTGCAGAAAAAAAGTAATTTAACTGAAGACTTATGGGAAGATCAAGCCAACATAAAAAGAATCTGAAGAACAAGGAAAAAGTACTCTGCTGTAAACTGTAAAGAGAAGCAGTCATAAAAAGCATCTTAAGTGTAAGTTTTCTCCTGTGATCTACATCTGAGAGTAGCTCAGCATCTTTCACTCCACAGACACAGGCACAGCAAGTGTATCGCCCATGCCATGCAAATGCTCACCCTCCACCTGCCTGCTCAGGCTATGGCTCCTGCTGCTGTAGTCGCCACCAGAGAAGGCAGCAGAGCTCAGAGGAGCAGTGGAGAAAGAAGAGAGGAACAGGCAACGTGTGTGTAAATAATGAGTCTTCAAGAAGTTCTCCCAAAAATGCCTACTGGGAAAAACTTATGCATGCATTTCAAAAATGTTGACACTGAAATAAACTTCTCTTTTCATTCAATTTTCCATGATCCTTTGTAGTGCCTTCCATGTGGATATGTACCTATGTGTCCATTTGTTCTCCAAAAAATTTAAAGTAATTTGCAAAATAACACCCAGTTTAACACAGTTCAAGATACAGATAAGAGGGTCAAGCTCTTGGTGGATAATCCCAGGTGGGAATTTAGAACCAAGTAGAGTGATAGGCAACAACTGCATGATTATTTTCTGCATGTCATTTGAGAGATAAACTACATAAATATTTCTGAAGATAGCTGCAGCACCTTTAAGCACTTCCTTCAGCCTTTGGACCGAGTGTCCACAGGAATCAAGGCATCACAAGGAGTAATTACAACACAGAATAAACTCTTCTTTCCATTTTGGAGTTACAGTCACAGAGCAGGGCTGTATCAAAGTCTTATTTTATAATTGCCAGACATTAAAATTAGCAAATATTATTCATCATGATAAAAGAGATCAATAGTCGATGAATTATTTTAATCGTTAGAAATGTTTTAATTTTTAAAAAAAGGACTAAGTTTTCCAAACAGCCCTCTGAATACAGCCACTCATTCATTGGGGAAAAAAAGGATAAAAAAGTTCTAAGTGTTCTAAGTGTTACTGCAACATTTAAAAATCTGGGGAAACAAAAGATTAGCCACATTTTCTCACGATTAGCTCAAACATACACCTTCACATTCACCTACCTACCCAGTCCTCCGACTCAATCCATCCTTTTGACAAGTGATGATGCAAGAACGAATCACGTGAGAAATGTCAGCATTCTTGTATCCATCATTGTAACTAATCAATCAGGGACCAGTATCAGAATGACATGGGGGGTGGGGGGGCTACCTACCTACATAGAGAACACCCTCTTTTGTCTTCCCTGCAGCCTCTGCCACACCCTGTTTGGTTTTCTCAGCGGCAGCCACAACTCCCTCCTTGGCCTTTGAAAGCCCTTTCATGAACACATCCATGGCTAATGAATTCCTTTACACCACACTGGAAAACACAAAATACATGCTGAGTGAGAACTTTTTGGTAAAAGCAAGCAAAATTCAAACCATCCAAGCAAAAAACAAAACAGAAAACGAAAACACTAAAAATCTGTAGAAATCCCCAAAAGCGTGAAAACTCTTTGACGTGACCCCTCATTTCAACCACTTGGACAAAGCAGTCCGCCCCTCACTCCCACCCCAGCCCACTCCCCTTAAGCTTTAGCTTTAGGAATTTCTCCTCCCCCATCCATCTTGACTCATGCTGACCAGGGAGAGCATCTGAGCTGTTCTTACTGCATCTCAGAAGTGGAGTGGCAGGAACAGATGCGCCCTTCTTCCAACTTCCCAGGGTCCAAAGGGTGACCCTCTAAGTCAGCAGGAGGTTTAGAGGAATGACCTCAGGAAAAGGACGGGAGCTGGGGGCCATGGCCAGGCGCATCCTTAAAATGAATCCCAGAAGAGGGGTAACAGGTTGATCCCAGGGGAGGGAAGAGCACTACTCACTCTGCATGTGGTTAAACCGCAAGACAACAAGGAAGGAGCCCGGGGACGCTCCTCTGAATCCACGGTGCCCTCCACCTCCGCCCTCTGCTATCTAACCGGAGCAGGCGCTGGTCTTCACCCGCTGGCAGCGTCCACACCCCTGCCAGCCACACTAAAGGGCGTTTTCAGCCGCACCGCACCCCCAAGCAGACCTAGCGCCTGCACCTGTTAACCCCTTCCTACCTGTTGCCTTGTCCCCTCTGCACTTTATTTAGAAATTGGCCAAAGCTGTTTCCTCACTTCTCGGGAAACAGCGAGAAAGCGGCCTACGGGGTGGCGGTTACCGTAAGAGAAGAAAAGTTGGATGCTCTTGCTCCACCCAGCACCCGGCGCTTCCGCGGGGAAAACGCACCCCGGAGAAGCCGCTGATTTCGCAGCCTTTGGGGAGGCCGGGGAGAGCTGGGTCAACATCCACTCCTGACGTGCACGCGAGGGACCTGCACGCCCCGCCAAGAGCCTGGACACCGCGGTCCTGGGGTGCACCCTACCACCACCCCGCGTCCGCGGCGGCTCCTCTGCCTTCCCGGGTTTCTCCACGATTTCCAAAGCTGCCCGTTCAGAGCCACAGGTACTCACCCGAGAACTCTGCTTCTCCGGGACTCCGAGTCCTCCCCTCCCCCCCTTTCCCTTTAATTTAAACAAGTGCCAAATATTATTTAAACGGGCCAAGGGAGGGGACGCGAGCGCACAGGAAGGGCGGAGGCGGCGCCAAGAGACGGATGATCCCCAGAGGAGGCTGCCGTCAGCGCAAGCCAGCGACGGGAGGCGGGGGACGTGGGAGGCACACGCGCGAACCTCGCGTCCAATTGCCACTCCCCGTCCCCCGCACGGAGGATGGGGGAGGAAGAAAGCGAGGGTCGCGAGGGAAGGCGGGCTGAGGGCTGGAGGTAGGCGCAGGGCGGGGCTGCGTCCCGGGGCTGCCCAGAGGCCAAGCACACACCTCGCTGCGCGTCAGCACACACTCCCGCTCCGCCGTCGTCCCGCTCGCGGGCCCCTGGTCGCGGCCGTCCTCCTCCTCGCCGTCCTCCTCCACCTCCTCCTCCGGCGCCCGGATCTCCTCGACTCACCGCCCCCACGGCTGATTTGTCAGCGCCTCTCCCCGCCCCTCTCCCGCGCTCGCTGCGCTCCCGGCGCGTGCTCTCGGCTCTCGTGCTCCGTGGGGAGGGGGTGCGGGGCAGGTGGCCCCGGCCACTGCAGCCGGCCGCCTCGGCCTGGGAGGCGTAAAGGCGCGGGGCCCGGTGCTTCACCGCAGGCTCAGAGGCACCGGGAACGTGCGGACCTCCGGAGCGCTTTGGCTCGGGCTGAGGTCTCTTCTTTCCACCCGCTCCCTCGCTGTCTCCTTTCCTCTGGTTTCTCGGGGACCTCGCTCCCAGCAGAGCCTAACCCTGGGGCTTGGGGACCGAGGAATGGGCGTCGCAGCCGAGCCTGGCTCCGGGAGCGGACGGAGGAGACACGGGGCGCGGCGGGGGCGCCTGCACCTGCCCCGCGTCAGCCTCGCTTCGTGACACTTAGCACACGGCCGAGGGGCGCCTCGTGCAGGGTCGCTTTTGTTCGAACATCCTCGAGGTTTTCTGTTCTCGCTTAACCCCGGGTGAGCCCGAAAGGGTCCCGCGGGCAGGCTGGAGACCACCGAGCAAGAGATACAGGTTCGGGAGGCACGAGGGGACTCGTCAAATCGTCTCCCTACCAGGCTCTCACCATTTTCTTTTCCACCAATCAGCGGCTGCCAGAAGCTGATTTTTTTTTTTTTCCCCCATCTGTGAAGCAGGCAATAAATATTCCCCAGCCGTCGAAAGCGAGCGGCCCCAAGGCTTTTCGCTCTGGAAACGCGGCTTCGTTTCCAGACCCCAGGACAAGGTCTAGGAGGCAAATCCAACGTGGTGCACGTTGCCCTCCGAGCTGACACCCCCTCCCCTTACACGGCACACGCGAGAGAGCCCCCGCCGATTTCTGCGTCGTTTAACGCATTTTCACCCTTGTCAGTGCTGGGTGGAAAACAGCTGTTCCTAGATCACACCAGAAGGGAGAACCAGGCTCCCCCCTCCAGCAGAAGGCCTTGCTTTCCTGGCCCGGTTCTTGGAGATGGGCTTAGCACGGAGGGGAGAACAAGGCTCTGCTGCCTCGTTTGTTCCTTGGTCTGTTTCTGTTTTTCTGCCGCTTGCACGCATCTGGGTTCTGAAATTTGAGTCAGATGTGCTTTCCACCTATAAAGCACAACTTGAAACCACAAGGGATGGAAGCGAACGACTACATAGAAAGGATAGAGATAGCTAAATATATAGATTGTTAGATAAAAGATAGATAGATGACAGGTGACAACCAATACACAAGGGGGGGGGGGATGGTGGTAGAAAGAAATGATACAGATAGATTCCGAAGAAAATGTGTGAAAGTTAGATCACAAGTATTTATCACTTAATAGATCCTCACACTCCTTGCCTCCCTTTTGAAAAGCAGTCTTTGGACGATACAGCCACTCATATTTTTTTTTTTCCTGGGATCAGAGGAAGAAAGCAGACATGAGAGCTAGTTTGCCATCTGATTTTAAGGCCATGAGCAAGTTATGTCCTCCTGTTTCCAGCTTTTCCTCCTGTAAATGAGGAGGTGAACTAGATGACCCCTCTCTTTTCAATTTTTTATTATGGAAAATTTTCAGACATGTACAGAAGTAGAATCAAAGACTCTCACATGAGTATCACCCAACTTTCACAATTTTTCAATGCCTGCCTGATCATATCTAGACTATAAACACTCCACTTTATCGCTACCAATCTTCATTTTTAAGTAAATTCCAAGTTTTATATGCATATTTTTATCTGTAAACATTTCAACATGGATTCACAAAATGTAAATTATGAAACAATAATCACCATAGCACTTGAGAATTTTTATTCTTGGTTATAATTTACATAGAGTAAATGCTCAGCTCTTAAGTGTCCCTTTGTGTCCATTTTGAAAAATCTGCACTATTTGAAAAACCCAGAACATTTTCATCACCCCACAAAGGTCCCATGGGCCCTTCTTAGGTGTGCACATTCTAACACTTCATCAAAATGGAATCATAAAGTATGAACTTTATTTCCTATTTGACTTCTTCTAGCATAGTATTTCTGAGACTCATTCATGCTGTTACATGAATTACTGGTTTGATTTTTTAGTGCTTTTCACTACTGCCAATAATGCATTTTTTCCACTGTGACCCACCACGACCACATATCTCAACAGATATAAATAATTATGACAGTTATTTTTTAAAGATGTGTTTATTTATTTGAAAGGCAGAGTTACACAGAGAGGAGAAGAGGCAGAGAGACAGAGAGGTCTTCCATCCCTTGGTTCACTCCCCAATTGGCCGCAACGGCTGGAGCTGCGCCGATCTGAAGCCAGGGGCCTCTTCTGGGTCTCCCACACTGGTGCAGGGGCCCAAGGACTTGGGCCATCTTCTGCTTTCCCAGGCCATAGCAGAGAGCTGGATGGGAAGTGGAGCAGCCGGGACTAGAACTGGTGCCCACGTGGAATGCCAGCGCTTCAGGCCAGGGCGTTAACCCGCCACACCACAGTGCTGGCCCCTGACAGTTATTTAATATGTGATTTTATATGACGTATTTGTGGTTTACCAGGGACCTGGTCCTTTAAGATGGAGGGGTGAATGAAATGACAGTTATTTTAGGTGTCATGAGCAAATCAGTGATTTATTTTGGGGATGATTATGCATCTTATAACATATCATGATCCCATACTTTTATATAGTACCTATGTTTGGCAAAGGACTAAAATCCCATGTCACTTAATCATAACAATTGGATAAGTTAAATTTTATATAACTTTTATAGGCAGAGAATCTGCTGGGGAGATAGACTGAAGTTAATTAGCTTTATGGTGGTAAAGCTGAGATGATCTAGCAGAGACTGTACCAGAAGGCACAATCATCTGAACTGGCAGCTCATCCTTGAAGCCTCATAGATTGAGTGTGTACCATGGGGAAGAAGTGGTGGGACCCAGCTCTGTTAGAAATAACCTTTGAGTTTGGATATCACAATGGAAATCAAGGAAAATGTACACTATTGTAAAGCAATATATTCAGATTTGCAACTTCACCTTCTCTGTGCCAGTACCCCACCACTCCCGTGTAAGATACGGGCATCCCAAATGGTAGAGTGACCTAATCCTGATGTGAACATTTTCTTAATAATTACCATACATGTCCTTCATTTTCTCTTCAGTACATGAAATATCAGTATTTTACCCCACATTAGTAAATTATTTTATCCAGGTTTATTTCAGTAATTTCACTATAGATTAGCATTCAATGAAATGTATGCTTTCCCTAGACTTAATTTTCTCTGTGAGATAACCAAATATTTAGTTATGTCCTGTGGTAAGCCTGTGCTATGGCAAAAACAGCAGAGCAGGAGCCAGCGTTGTGGCACAGTGGGTTAAAGCCCTGGCCTAAAGCGCCGGCATCCCATATGGGCGCTGGTTCTAGTCCCGGCTCCTCCCCTTCTGACCTAGCTCTCTGCTATGGCCTGGGATAGCAGTAGAAGATGGTCCAAGTCCTTGGGCCCCTACGCCTGTGTGGGAGGCCCAGAAGAAGCTCCTGGCTCTGGATCGGCACAGCTCCGGCCGTTGCAGCCATCTGGGGAGTGACCAGCAGATGGAAGACCTTTTTCTCTGTCTCTACCTCTCTCTCTAACTCTTTCAAATAAATAAAATAAATCTTTAAAAAAATTAAAAAAGAAACAGCAGAGTAAAATAACATGAAAGCAAGGAAGCTGCCCTTTACCAAGAGTGGGAAAGAGTTAATTTAATGCACTTAAGCATGGGAAACACAAACTTTAGTAGCTGTAGATAATGCTCCATATTTGTTGTGAACACAAGGACAATGTAATGTTGATCTTTGGGCCATCTGCTTCTTGTTCTCTCTCTGCACCTTCCTCCCATCTCCTGGAAAGCTGTGGGAAATACAGGTAATGAGATCTCTGGATGCAAAAGGGAAAACCCAGTGTCTTCTTTGAGATGATATTGTGTATGATTTGGAAAGGGAGTGAGCTTGAGACAGAGCAAAAGTGACCGCAAAGAAATATAAAGGGCAAATGAAGAAGGAGTGTAGTGTCCAAA